CTGCAGGAACTTCAAACAGGCTCTAGGAAGTAGACTGGGAACCCAGAGTAAGTGTTTGAACTGCAACCCATACCATTTGTGCTTGATTAAAGAACCTCTCTCCACATGTTCATTTCTGAGGGGTATCTTTGTGTGAAAACCTACTTTCAAATAGGTTCCTAGTAACACAAATTTTCTTTTCAGTTGGAAACTTCACTACGTAAATATATATTGGGAGTTTCTAGCTCCTACTGGTTTTGGGTGAAAATTGCAGGAAATTCAAACCAGAAATAAGAAACAGATGGGGAAATCAGAGTAAGTGTGTATACTGCATCTACTTCAATTTGTGCTCAATGAGTGACCGTCTCTCCATATGCTCAACTCTGACAGATAAGTGTGTGAAAGCCGAACTTCACCCATCTTCCTGGCAAATCAATGTTTCTTTTCAGTTTGGAACTACACTACGTACATAAATATCGTTAGGAAGTAGCACCAACTCGGCTTTACAATGAAAACCCTTGGAAGTTAAAACTGGCTCTAAGAAACACCCTGGGAAACAGAGTAATTGTGTCTACTGCAACATATACCATTTGTGCTTGATTAAAGATCCTCTCTACTCATGCCCATTTCTGAGCGAAAATTGTGTGTGAAATATGTCCTTCACCTGGTATGTTGGGAACAAAATATTTCTTTTCATTAGGAAAGTACAATACGTACATTTATATGGGGAAGTACTAGCACTAACTCGGTTTTACACTAAAAACTGCAGGAATTTCAAACTGACCCTATGAAACACAGTTAGAAATAAGAGCAATTGTATCACTTTAACACACTCTCTTGGTACTAGATGAAAGAAAGTCTCTCCACATGCTGATATCTGAGAGATAATTGTGTGTGAAAGCATTTATTCAACTAGCTTGCTGGCAAAACAAAGTTTCTTTCAGTTGGAAATTACAGTACGTACACATATATGGGGAGGTAGAAGTAAAAATTTCAGGTTTACGGTGAAATTTGCAGGAACTTCAAATGGGCTCAAGGAAGCAGACTGGGAACCCAGAATAAGTGTGTCTACTGCAACCACTTCCATTTGTGCTAGATGAACGATCATCTCTCCACATGCTTTATACTGATAGATAATTATGTGTGAAATCCATCCTTGACCTGGCTTATTGGGAACACAAAGTTTCTATTCATTTGGAAATTACACTAAAGACATATACATGGGGAGATACTAGCTGAAAATCGGTTTAAAGTGAAAGTTACAGGAATTTCAAACAGGCACTAGGAAACAGACTGAGAAACCAGAGTAACTGTTTCTCCTGCAAACCGTTCCTTTTGTGTTAGATGAACAAACGTCTCTCCACATGCTAATTTCTGAGAGAAAGTTGTGTGTGAAAGAGGTCCTTCAACTAGCAAGTTGGGAACACAAATTTTCTTTTAATTAGGAATGTACAATACTTATATATATATATGGGGCAGAACTGCTCCATCTCAGTATTACAGTGAACACTGCAGGAAATTCAACCCGGCACTAGGAATTAAAATTAGATATCAGGGTGTGTGTACCACTTGCAACCCGTTTCCGTGCTTCTAGTTTAACAAACTTCTCTCCACATGCTCGGTTTTTAGTGACAACTTTCAGTGAAAGCCGTGCTTCACCTAGCTTACTGGCAACACACAGTTTCTTTTCAGATGGAAAGTACACTACGTGCATATATTTGGGGAGGTACAAACACCAATTCTGCTTACAGTGATAATGCAGGAAATTAAACCTGGCACAAGGAAACAGAATGAGAAACCAGGGTAAGTGTTTCTCCTGCAACCCGATCCCTTTGTGCAGATGAACGGAAGTCTCTCCACATGCAAATGTCTGAGAGATAAGTGTGTGTGAACGCCATCCTTCTATTAGCTTGTTGGGAACACAAAGTTTTTTTCCAGTTGGAAATTTCACTACATACATATATATGGGGATGTACTAGCTACAAATCAGTTTTACAATGAAAATACAGAAACTTAAAATCGGCAATAGGAAACAAACTGAGAAAATAAAGTGCTTCCACTGGAACACATACCCTATTTGTAAGATGAATGAAAGTGTCTAAACATACTAAGATCTGAGAAAATTGTGTGGGAATGAAGTCCTTCAACTGGCATGTTGTAAACACGAATCATCTTTTCATTAGTTAAGTACAATGCGTACATATATATGGGGAGGTAGTAGCACCAACTCGGTTTTACACTGAAAACTGCAGGAATTTCAAACCGACCCTATGAAACACTCAGAAATAAGAGCAATTGTATCACTTTTAACACTCTCCTTGGTGCTAGATGTAAGAATGTCTCTCCACATGCTAATATCTGAGAGATAATTGTGTGCGAAAGCATTCCTTCACCTAGCTTGCTGGCAAAACAGTTTCTTTCAGATGGAAATTAGAGTATGTACATATATATGGGGAGGTACAAGTAAAAAATTCTGGTTTACAGTGAAATTTGCAGGAACCTCAAATGGGCTCTAGGATGCAGACTGGGAACCCAGAGTAAGTGTGTCTACTTCAACACGTTCCATATGTGCTAGATGAATGATAGTCTCCCCACATACTTAAATCTGAGAGATAATTGTGTGCGAAATCCGTCCTTCACCTGGCTTATTGGAACACAAAGACTTATTCATTTGGAAATTACACTACAGAGATATACATGGGAAGGTCCTGGCTCCAAATTGGTTTTACAGTGAAAGCTGCAGGAATTTCAAACAGGCACTAGGAAACAGACTGAGAAACCAGAGTAACTGTTTCTCCTGCAAACTGTTCCTTTCGTGCTAGATGAGTGAAAGTCTCTCCACATGCTAATTTTGAGAGAAAGTTGTGTGTGAAAGACTTACTTAAACTAGCAAGTTGGGAACAGAAAGTGTTTTTCATTAGGAATGTACAATACTTATATATATATGGAGAGGTGCTAGCTCCAACTTGGTTTTTCAGTTAATAATGCAGAAATATCAAACCGACCCAGGAAACAGAGGTAGAAATGAGAATATTTGTATCAGTTTAAACCGCTCCCTTGTGCTAGATGAAACAAAGTCTCTCCACATGCTAATTTCTGTGAGATAGATGTGTGTGACACCACCCTTCACCTAGCTTGCTGGCAACACAAATTTTCTTTTCAGTTGAAAATTAAAAAACGTACATATATATGGGGAGGTAACAGCACAAAATCGATTTTACACTTAAAATTGTAGGAACTTCAAACAGGCAAATGGAAAAAGCCTGGGAACCCAGAGTAAGTATTTCTACTGCAACCAATTCCATTTGTGCTTGAATAAAGAACCTGTCTGCACATGTTCATTTCTGAGTGGTAACTTTTTGTGAAAGTCGCTCTTCACCTAGATTCTTGGGAACAAAATTTTTTTTTGCTTAGAATCTACACTACATAAATATATATGGGGATGTTCTAGCTCCAACACTGTTTTACACTGAAAACTGGAGGAACTTCAAACCTGCACTAGGAAACAGTCATGGAAATAAGAGTAAGTTTTCCAATTTTAACCCGTTCCCTTCGTGCTAGATGAGTGAACGTCTCTCCACATTCTAATTTCTGAGAGATAAGTGTGTGTGAAAGCCGTCTTTCAACTAGCTTGCTGGCAAACAAAGTTTCTTTTTAGTTGGAAACTACAGTACGTACATATATATGAGGAAGTTCAAGTACCAAATCAGGATTCCATTCAAATTTGCAGGAACTTCAAACGGGCTCTAGGAATCATACTGGGAAAACAGAGTCAGTGTGTCTACTGCAACACTTTCCATTTGTGCTAGATGAATGATTGTCTCTCCACATGCTTAACTGTGACAGAAAAGTGTGTTTCAAAGCCGTCCTTCACCTGGCTTGTTGGGAACACCAACGTTCTTTTCATTTGGAAATTACACTATACACTTATACATCGGGAGGTAATAACTTCAACTCGGTTTTACAGTGAAAGCTGCAGGAAATTCAAACCGACACTTGAAAACAGACTGAGAAACTAGAGTAACTCTTTCTCCTTCAAACAGGTCCTCTTGTGCTAGGTGAATGAAAATCTCTCCACATGCTAATTTCTGAGGGAAATTTGTGTATGAATGACGTCCTTCACCTAATAAGTTAGGAACACATAGTTTCTGTCCATTACGAAGTGCAATATGCACATAGATATGGGGCGGTATTAGCTCCATCTCAGTTTTACGATGAACAATGCAGGGAATTGAAACCGGCACTAGGAATCAAAATTAGATATCAGAGTATGTGTGCCACTTGCAAAAAGGATACTTGGTTCTAGATTAACAAAATTCTCTCCACATGCTCTGTTTTCAGAGATAATTGTCATTGAAATCTGTGCTTCACTTAGCTTGTGGGCAACAGAGAGTTTCTTTTCAGATGGAAAGCACACTACTTGCATATATTTGGGGAGGTACAAGTACCAACTCGTCTTATAGTGAGAATGCAGAAAATTAAAACCAGCACAAGGAAACACACTAAGAAAACAGAGTAATTGTTTCTCCTGCAACATGATCCCTTTGAGCTAGATGAACAGAAGTCTCTCCACATGCTCAGTTCTGAGATGTAAGTGTGCGTGAATACTCTTCTTCTACTAGCTTGTTGGGAACACAAAGATTTTTTCAAGTTGGAAACTGCACTGCATACATATATATGGGGAGGTACTAGCTAAAACATGATTTTGCAGTGAAAATGCAGGACATGAAAACCAGCACAAGGAAACAGACTTAGAAACCAGAGTAAGTGTTTCACTGCAACCCATTCCCCATGTGCTGGATGAATGAATCCTCTAGACATTATCAGTTCTCAGAGATAAGTGTGTGTGAAAACCGTCCTTCCCTAGCTTCTTGGGAACACAAAGCTTCTTTTCAGTTGGAAACTACTCAACATACATATATATGGGAAGGTACTAGCTCCAAATCTGATTTACAGTGAAAAGTGCAGGTTCTTCAAAGATTCGCTAGGAAACAACATAGAAATCAGAGTAATTGTGTCTACTGCAACCCCTTTCCCTTGTTGCTACTTGAATGAACGTCTCTCCACATCTTCATTTCTGAGAGATAAGTTTCTGTGAAAGTCGTCCTTCACCTAGCTTATAAGGAACACAAAGTTGTTTTAGCTGGAATCTACCTTACATACATAAATATGGGTAGATTCAAGCTCCAAACTGGTTTTACAATGAAAATTGGAGGAAATTGAAACTGGCAATGGGAAACAAACTGGGAAACTAGAGTAAATATTTCTCCTTACCACCGTTCAATTTGTGCTAGAAGAATGAACGTCTGTCCACATGCTCATTTCTGAGACCTAACTGTTTCTGAAATACGTCCTTCAACTTGCATGTTAGGATCAAAAAGTTTCTTTTCATTTGGAAACAGCAATACATACATATATGTGAGGAGGTACTAGCACCAACTCGGTTTTACAGTGAAAACTGCAGGACATTCAAAACGACCGTAGAAAACAGGCTAAGAAATTAGAATAATTGTAACACTTTTAAACCACTCCCTTGGTGCTAAATGAATGAACAACTCTCCACATGATCAATTCTGAGAGAAATTTGAGTTTGAAAATCGACCTTCATCTAGCATGTTGGGAAAACAAAGTTTCTTTTCATAAGGAAAGTACACTACTTACATATATATGGGGAGGTACTAGCTCCAACTCGGTTTTTCAGTGAAAGCTAAAGGTACTTCAAACTTTCGCTAGGAAACAGACTTAGAAATTAGAGAAATTGTATCTCCTTTAAAAGCTCTCTTGGTGCTAGATGAAAGAAAGTCTCTCCACATGCTAATTTCTGGTAGATAATTTTGTGTGAAAGCCATACTTCATGTAGCATGCTGGCAACACAAAGTTTCTGTTCAGTTGGTAATTACACAATGTACATAGAAATGGGGAGGTACAAGCACCAAGTGGATTTTTCAGTGAAAACTGTAGGAACTTCAAACAGGTTATAAGAAACAGTATGGGAACCCAGGGTAAGTGTTTCTACTGCTAACCATACCATTAGTGCTTGAATACAGAACCGCTCTCAACATGCTCACTTCTGAGTGGTAACTTTGTGTGAAAGTCGCCCTTCACTAAGAAACTTTGAAACACAAATATTTTTCGCTTGGAATCTACAAAACGTAAATATATATGGGGTGGTTCTAGCTCCAAATCGGTTTTACAGTGAAAATTGCAGAAACTTCCAATGGGCTCTAGGAAGCAGACTGGGAACCCAGAGTAAGTGTTTGAACTGCAACCCCTACCATTTGTGCTTGATTAAAGAACCTCTCTCTACATGCTCAGTTCTGAGGGATATCTTTGTGTGAAAGCCTAACTTCAGCTAGGTTCCTGGGAATACAAATTTTCTTTTCAGTTGGAAAATTCACTACATTATTATATATGAGGGATTTCTAGCTCCAACTGGCTTTTGGGTGAAAATTGCAGGAAATTCAAACCGGAAATAAGAAACAGATGGGGAAAACAAAGTACGTGTGTCTACTGCAAATACTTCAATTTGTGCTCGATGAACGACCGTCTCTCCACATGCTCAACTCTGAAAGATAAGTGTGTTTGAAAGCCGAAGTTCACCTAGGTTACTGGCAAATCAATGTTTCTTTTCAGTTTGAAACTACAATGCGTACATATATACTGGTAGGTAGATGCCCCAACTTGGCTTTACAGTGAAAAATCTTGGAACTTCAAACTGGCTCTAGGAAAAAGAATGGGAAACAGAGTAATCGTGCTTACTGCAAAATATACCAATTGTGCTTGATTAAAGATCCTCTCTACTCATGCTCAATTCTAAGAGAAAATTGTGTGTGAAAGATGTCCTTCACCTGGCATGTGGGAACACAAATTTTCTATTCATTAGGAAAGTACAATACATACATATATATGGGGAGATACATGCACCAACTCAGTTTCACAGTGAAAACTGCAGGAATTTGAAACCGACCCTGTGAAACACACTTAGAAATAAGAGTAAATTTATCACTTTCAACACACTCCCTTGGTGCTACATGAAAGAAAGTCTATCCACAAGCTAATATCTGAGAGATAATTGTGTATGAATGCATTCCTTCATCTAGCTTGCTGGCAAAACAAAGTTTCTTTCAGTTGGAAAGCACAGTGTGTACATATATATGGGGAAGAACAAGTAAAAAATCGGGTTTATGGTGAAATTTGCAGGAACTTCAAATGGGCTCTAGGAAGCAGACTGGGAACTCAGAGTAATTGTGTCTACTGCATCAAGTTCCATTTGTGCTAGATAAAAGATCGTCTCTCCACATGCTTAAATCTGAGAGATAAGTGTGTGCAAAAGCCATCCTTCACCTGGCTTATTGGGAACACAAATTTTCTATTCATTTGGAGTTTACACAACACACATATACATGGGGTGGTAATAGCTCCTAATCGGTTTTACAGAGAAAGCTGCAGGAATTTCAAACAGGCACTGGTAACAGACTGTGAAACCAGAGTAACTCTTTCTCCTCC